CACCAATACTCCCAAACTCATTCCTAGAAAGTAGCTTTATGTCAATTCCAAAACCAGAAAAGGTTCCAACCAAAAAATAGAATTACAGGTCAATCATTTAATGAGCATAGAAGCAACAAGATATTGGCAGATAGAATACAGTAAGTTCCTGACCTAGGAAACAGATTCATTCAGTGTAAACATTCATAAGATAAATTTGTTCATAAGTCTGACAAAATAAGTCTTATATACCTTAGACAAAAATACACAATGTAAAACATAAAACCACCAAATGCAAGGTCCATTTATACCTGTGAAAGTTCACAACTCGAATTTTCAGAAGTCAGGGACTTACTGTAAAACAAACCATCAAAAAGATCTTACATCATGATCAAGTGGGATTTATCCCAGAGACACAAAGATGATTCAACACACACAAATCAATAAATGTAATACATCATATAAGCAAAAGCAGGGGCAAAAATCACATGATCATCTCCATAAATGTAGAAAAAGCCTTTGAGAAAATCTAACATCCATTCGTGACAAAAGTCCACCGACAGTAGGTAGAGCAAGACTTTATCTAAATCCAATAAAAGCCATTTATGACAAATCAATGATCTAACAGGTTCAAGCCCATGTGAAATTTGCCAAGTCATCATGGTAGTGGTCCAACATGGCAAAGGAGCCCCCCCCAAAAAACCTCTCACAATTTCTAAGACTTCCTTTTTCCTCTCCCCTCAGCCCCAAATAAACTTCCTGTTCTTGATCCTGTACAATATATTATAATATATAATATATATAATATATTAAAAATATAAATACTACAATAGAAAGAATCTGTTATAAAATAGAGAAAACTCTTAAAGACATGGGCAAAGTCAAGAACTTTCTTAATAGAGCCTCAATTGTACTAGAAAAAGTATCATGAATCAACAACAAATGGGATTATACCAAAATAAAAAGTTTCAGCACAGCTAAGGAGACAACCAACAGAGTGAAGAGACAATCTACAGAATATAAATTTTTTTGCCAGTTATTCTCCAGACAGGACTAATACCTGAAATAGATAAAAGAACTCAAAAAGCATTTACGCCTCCACCCCTAGACCCAATCAAAAAAATGGGCAAATGAACAAACACTTCATGAACGAACTATAAATGGCTTCTAAATATATAAAAAATGTTCACTATATCAGGTTATTAGCAAAATGCAAATTAAAATAACAGTGAGATTCTTACTCCAGGAATGATTATCATCAAGAAATCAAATAATAACAAATACTTTCAAGGCTGTAAGATTTTCATCTTAGCTTTACCATGCTTTACATTTCTAAAACATACCGGGGATGGGGATTTAGCTCAGTGGCATAAGCGCCTGCCTTGCAAATAGGCAGTCGTGTGTTCGATCCCTGGTACCGATTTAAAAAAAAAAATACCTAAGCCAAAGTGTTAATAGTTGTACATTTTGAAGGAAATTGGGGAGACAGGGAGTTCTTAAATTGTATTACATATGCTTTATATTTATATATCTTTTAGTTTTTCTAAAATCCTTATAAAATTAATACTTCATGTTTGAATGCTTAGAATAATGAAATATTATTTTTTGTCTTCTAAATTAATCAGTGTTAAGTATCCAGGAGTCATAAGTCAATCTGTAAAATTAAGCCTTGTTTCTATAGAAAATCCTCCTCATATTAACAGAGAGATCCGAAGAATAAGGTTAGCTTCTTACAAATATCACAACTCCAGCAATGACACAGTACATGGAATAAATGCAAAATATTTATAATTATTTTTTAAAAATAGTTTATAGAAACTGATTTACTGCATCTAAAGAATAATATTTAGTACAAAGCTGTAGCATTTCAAAGTTGGCTTAGACTATTTTATAATATTTACAAGTAGCTGTTTTGAAATCACAAGCTTTTGTCATTTATCTAGTGTACTATTTATCTTCTACTTGCTAAATACCATCTAAACCTTATTTATATCTTTAGATTAGGTCAAATGAAAAAAATGAAATGTAAACACAATAACCCAAAGGAATGTACTGGCCATATCCCCAGCGACCTAACGACTCCCCAGTGGACCCATCTCTGAATGGTTTACAGCACCTCCCAAGACAACCAACCCTGTGGACCTACTGGTTAGCACATAAACCTTTAGGGGATGTTACCTAAAGTCAAGTAAAAGCATAGATTAATGTTAATTTTCTGACAGCTCAGTCTAAACATGTAAAGAGTATATTATTGTAGATAAATTTTTTCTTCTGTAACTTCAGTAGTTTGGTACAGAAAGTTCAAATTTCTTCTATAGTCTTCTACATATTTAAATTTCAAGAGCTGAAGTCTGAAATGGCTAAAACTTAGTGATATGATGGTAGCTTCCCATGTAGTGTCCAGGGAAGAATATATTTGAAAGCAATTCAAATGCAGAATGGCTACAGAAAGCATAAGAATGGTGGGGCAAGTGTGCTGTTAGTGAAAGGGGGCATTCTGACAGCAAATAACCAGAACATAGGACTAATTTTATCATTAAGGCACAGAAACATGGGTCTTTTTAGAACCACGTTTATTCTTTAGAATATTTCTATTGATGAACTGTTCATTTTAATTTTGAGTTTTATTATATTAAGCAATGTGTATGTAACAGGAAAAAAATCACAAAAATTATTGAATGTTAGTATTTATTGCTCATAAAAAGCATCAAAATTTTCAACATCAATTGGGTTTTCAGGTACAAAGTCTAAAATTCAGCAAAAATATATAAACTGCAACGAAAATGCAAATAGCACTTTACAAAAAGTAATCTTTACCTCAATTATCACACCTAAGGCAGTATGCACACGTAACAACTGCGTGTTCCATGCACATGTCTCACTTATGCTGACAGCGCGTGTATTTTGCTTTCCTGGCCTTTTTGTAGGACATACCAGACATCGCAGTGGTCTTCAGGTTTTGCCAGGATGTTCTTATTATATTATATAGTGTATAGTAAACAGAAACATAAAATATCAATAAAATAACTTTTAAATCACTAATGTGTTTTGTGAATTTAGAGTAAACATCAACATTTTCATATCACTTGCCTACAAAACCTAAAAGACAACATCAGAGGTAAATTTTTATATCAACTATAATGAAAATATCAATATAACTCTACCAAAAAAGTGAGTGTGGCTTCAACTGTCACACCAAAGGCATTTTCCACTCATGACAATTGCATCTTCTATGCACACATCTCACTTACGCTGACAGCACATGTACTCAGCTTTCCTTTCCTAAGTGGCAGTCTTGTCACCGCTCTTCTCTATTTTGTCAGAAGCTTCTCACTATAACTATACAACATGAACTTAACAGGGAAATAAAGTATTATTAAATAAAATATCAAATATATAATGAGCCTTCAGAATAGACATTAATATCTTCATATCAGCTACTTCTTTACAAAACCTAAAAGATAACATCAAAAATAAAACCCTGCGTGAACTATAATGTAACCACAAACAAACGACTACTACAGAAATAAACTGCTTTAACTGTCACATTCAAGGCAGTTTTTACACGACAGTGCATTTTCCATACAAAAGTGTCTTTTACACTGATAGAACATATGTTTTGCTTTCCTATCCTTAACTGTAGGTCACAGTTGATATCCTTTTTATTTTCCTATTGTTTTAGTGAGTCTTGGTGGTGCTGTAACTGCCTGTGCACCTCTGAGCTCACCAGTGTGCTCCACCATTTTTTTGCATAGTTCCCTGGGCACAAACAGTTTGGTTTTCCTCTGCTGTAAATGATCTCTTAGGAGCTCCTGTCCCAGTCCTCTAAGAAAATGTCTCCATGATACTTTGAACTTATTATTTTCTTTGTGAACAATCAAAGGATATTTAGGATAGACTAAACACAACCATTGGCCAGTGCTTGTGTTTCAGGGAATTTCATAGTTGCTGCATAACTCATCAGCAATATCTACTTCACCTTGGGTTTTGTTGCAGAAAGTTTCCATCTCAGATTTTTATTTTGTGGAGGTTGCCCTATTTCCATTTTGGTGAAATGTTGACATCAACAGCACCAGTTTGCTTTTCTTTTCCATATACAAGCGCAATCTTATATCTTTCTGAAATCCACAGATTGCACAGTACAAGTCTCTGTTTTGAAATTGCAAGATTTCACTTGCGATTTTTGTTTTATTCTTACATAGTTTCTGCACTGGTCAACTTGTCCTCTGTTAGCTAACCTAATATTAGTTAGGAACCGGTAAACTAATTGTCAAATGTCACATTCTGATTAGTTTGGGAGATGAGGGCAATAAGTCTTTTCACAACACCATTTTGTTTATTACTATATGAATAAAGACCTGATGGCTGAGTTCTAGGATAAATGTTTAAATTGAAAGCATAATCAGTCTTCATGTCTACAAGGCCATACAATTTTATGCCCTATTTTGATCCATTAGTTTTTGTGAGAAAAAATCTTTTATATTCCTGCATTTACCGTGAGAAAGCTGTACAATATACAGGAGACCTAAAAATGCTTTCAGTTCAGCTAGTGAGGTATCATAATAAATACATTTTTGAATATGGATACTGGTGCACACAGAATGTTTTACTTACAATTCAGCCTTTGTGTATTTCACAGCATTTATCTATTATAATTTCCAACATTGAATGGCAGTGCTGGCATTCTGTCCAGTATCTTTCACTCCTGCCAAGTCCCTCACTATATTTTTGGACTTAATTCTAACAATGGATTGTTCCATTTGGTTGCATAGCTGTTTTGCAACATTTTGACTAAAATATGTATTCACATTGCTGTTTTCTTTGTTATCTGAATCAAGGAGATTTATATTCCCTGTGTCCATATCAGTTGATTCTTGTTCCATTTCACTGTCACAGGCGCTTTGGCTCACATGGCCAACGTGAAATTCCTCATCATCCTCATACACCCACACTGCTCTTTTGTTAAGAAAGCATGTGTTTTAATATAATGGAACTTAATTGTAACTTAAAATTCTCTTTACCTTTATTGTCTGTCTGCTTGTCTGTAATCGTTGATCAGATATCTGCTGTTGATGGAGAAGTTTTTCATTAACTTCTTTATATTCTTTAACAGACAACTCTGCTGATTTTTTGGCACTTTGGAGTATATTGTTTTGCTGTTGCAAGGATATAATCCGTTCTCGTAATGAAACATTATTGTTACTTGATTTCTTGGCAGTTATATTTTTGAAATTTTCCCTGTTAACTATATAAAAATAATATTCATAATACTTTATATGTGAGATTAAACTTTAAAGACAATGTATTACTAAATTCATAAGTTTTCTTACCTCTGATTGGAACTACTGCATGTGTTCTCTTATGCATACTATCACTCTTCTTTTGAAAAGTCATTTTTTTAATACTCTTGTGATCCTAAATTTAGAAGATTTAAAAAAATTTGGTTATTATTCAACAATGTCAAATGAACTGTCTTTGTCACTTTCTCATCATTGAGACAAAGTACCTAATACCCACAAATTAAAGGAGAAGTTTATTTTGGCTCACAGCTTTTAGACGTTTCAATCCACAGCTGGCTTACATCCAGGCAAAAAGTGGAAGAACCTGGGCAGAAGACACAGCTGCTCCTCCCACAGCAGCAAGGACTGATAAAAAGCAGGAGTTGCATCCTTCCAGGTCATGCTCTCGGTGAACCAGCTCTTTCAACCAGATGCTGCCTCCTAACAGCATGTTCAGCTCCAGATTCAGCTAGGGACTAAACCATGATCCAACTACCTTCTAAAGGCCTTACCTCTCAACTCATGAAACTTTTGGTGGACATTCTATCTCTGAACCACCACATGAACTGACAAAGTTACTTAAAATGTTACTGACAAACTTACTTAAAATGAAATGTAAGAATGTAGAATTAAGGAAAATACGAAAAATGAAATTCTATAATTGACAAATCTCTATTGTAGAATTCACAAATAATTCTAAATTTAGGTATAATAGAAATAAAGTAAATTTAAGGCTGAACAGTATGCCATAGCTTTAGACACAACATTAACTCAAAAGAACTTAACCCAAATAAGTTTTTTAAAACTAGGATTAAACACAATAACAAAAATAAAATATGAATATTTAATAACATTCTCTGGGACTCTAAGTCCTTTTCTCAGACTTTTCTTGACTGAATGTAGACAAATGATGCTAAATGATGTTGACAGTAATGAAGTAACTTTATCTGAAGCTGCATGTTTTCCTCCTGCCATTATTAAAATGCCTGTCACTAGATTAAATGAGGCCATCATGTTGACTTTAGTTTCAAAATATTTTACCAACTTGAAAATGTTTTCACAAAGTAAAATTTATATCAAAACAGTCACTGCTTAACATAGAAAGGAGAAAAACACAGGACAAATGTGGGACACTACTGACTAAAGTGAAGAAAAATGTGAAACCTAATTGCTATTCTAAATCACATACAAAATATCAATGCTATACACTAATATGATATCAAAACAATAAATCAGAAAATACAGAAAAAACACAAATAGTAGTACAGAAATTTATCCATACATACGTAGGGAAAGATCCACACTAGCAAAAAAAAAAAAAAAAAAACTTCATAAACAAAAAAAAAATAGATTGGGCATGGTGGCGCATGGCTATAATTCTAGTACTTAGAAGGCTGAGACAGGAGAATTCCTGCAAGATCAAGGATAGTCTGGGCTATAAAGTGAATCGAAGGCCAGCCTGAACTGCATAGAAAAATCTTGTGTCAAAATGATCAATCAATCAATCAATCAATGGATCCATAACACTGATAAATTGTATCTAACTGGTCCTTGAATATTTTCACTGTGTCCTTCAAAGATGTTTTAACTTTTAAAGATTGAAATTTTTACATGGCCAGAATTTACTAAGTTACAAAGCACAAAAAAATTAGAAAATAATTAACAAGCAAAGCTATGCCTCATACCTTTGGAGTCTTCTCATCCATATTTGAATACGTTTGTACTATTCCTTTTCCTTGCACTTGGTTATTATCTGTTTTATCACTTTGTTTCTGGTCTCTTTTATCTTCTGTAGGGTTTATTTTTTGGGATGTTTCCACAATAATTGTTCCCAAATTTTCAGAGGTCTGTGTTTCAGAATCACTGCTTTTAAAAAATGCGAAAAAAATGACAACATAAAATTCAAGAAAAGTTTTTATGCGTTATTTCATTAAGTTTTAAGACCAAGTAATGTAGTACACATTGCATATAAAGGTGTAAGTTTAACTTGGGCATTTGTTGGTCCTCAATATTAAAAGGAAACAGTTTAAATATATTTTATAAAATTATAGAATCATCTCAAGAAAATAGGTATCTAATATCAAATTCCTATGAGCATCACTTCTAAAGAATTTCCACCAAATGTTAAATTAAAAAGCACATGCTTTAACACTTCCAGAGTTTGAGCATGCACCCCCTTCTGAACTAGGCCCACAAGGTTTAATTTTCTTTCTTTGTACTTTTGAGACAGGGTTTCACTATGTAATTCAGGCTGGCTTTGAAATCACTTTGTAGTGAGTACAAACTTGCAATAATTCTCCTGCCTGAGCCTCCCAAGTGCTGGGATTACAGGCATACACCAAGGTTTAATTTTTCTAACTGAAAGTTCCTCTTCAGTACAAAATTTTAATCTCCTAGGCTTTTACTCATTCACTTGTTTCATTCCTTATGGCCATTTATCATTCAACAAAGTATCTGTTAAATAGTAACTATGGGTTACACACTTCTTCAGGGAAAAAGTACTAAATAAATAAAATAGAAAAAAAGCCCCACCCCAGTCTTCATGGAACTTTTTTCACAATGGTGACTGGAGATTAGGTACGAAACAAGAATAAGTAAAATATATAGCATCATAATACTAATACATTAAAGAGAAAAAAATTATAGAAGAGAGATTTAAATATTTGAGGTAAAATAAAACATGTCCTTTTCCCACATGCATGACCTTTCAACTATTTTGCCATAGTTATATGTTGCTCAAGATACCACCTTTTAAAAAATGTTTCTAGTATATATGCTTCTGAGAAGCTTTACTAACCCCTCACTATTGAACAGCTTAACACAACGAGGCATCAATTTCATATTCCAGCTACAGGTACTTTGTAGAAATTCTGGTAGATGCAGACTAAAATTCTGTTACCTTCTTGGTCATATACATTATGATGTATATTCACTAACATTTAAGAAAACTTTAACTATTTCTATGTAGATTATTACAAAACCCCATTATTTTCTCATCATGTTGCTGAACAAACAGCATTTTATAACAATGTAAACCACCTTATACTCTTGTATAACTATATCTTCCTAGTATATTGAGATCTTTTCAGATCTTGTATTTTCCATTTCTTTTAATGCCATGCTACCCACATGCTTGATAAACATTCTTCATTAGAATTCAGTTTTATCATATCTTTACAAATATAATAGATTAATCTAATAAGACTTTTCCTTGAAGAATCTGAGCTTTAAAAAATTTACAAAGTATTGTTTATAATATTCTATATTTTTATTTAAGATTTATTTCACAAAACATTGAGGTAAAAGCTCTTGCTTACAATAAATAACAGTAAAGGTAAAACATAAGATTGAAAGCAAGACTTGTTAGGAAACTTCTTGTAAGATACCAGAAAACTGATCATGGAGAGCTTTAATGTTGATAGCGATAAAAGTGATGAAAAGTGTTAAGATTCTAGAAAATTTTTAGAGAAATGCACTAGGATTTCCTGATGGTTCAGATATAGATTCTCAGTAGGTAGAATATGGCTAATCTGAGTAACACAAGATTTTGGTCAGAGTAACAACAGTGTAAGAATAGAGTTACCATTACATAAGAGGAACACAAGAGCTCACACAGATTTTGTATGGGAAACATCAGAAGTATGGGTTAGAAATTGTCCGGCGCCGCTTCCGTCCCGCGGAATGGAGCACACGAACACTTAGCCTCTGCGAGCACCTTTATTGACTGGGCAGCAACCTCAATACATGTCCGTCCTTAACGGCTTCTTCCGTGTTGTGTGTCGGGCACTTCCTATACTTGGGCTTATATAGCTAATGTTATCCAATCATGGGATTACACGTGGGGACAGGCGATTGGGCGGCAACAAGGAAGCAATCAATCATTACCATATATGGCGGGGACAGTAAGCCGAGCAAGAACCAGGAAGCAGGATGTGTGCGCCATCTTGGGCACACGATGGGCGGGGGAGCAGCGAGGCGGTAGGTGGATGCCATCTTGTGGCTATATTCTCATGGGTAATACGGCAGGCTCCCAACATCTCCCCCTTTCTTATTTACAAGGAAGGACAGCGAGACCTTCCAAGTGACTACAGAGGTCTGTACCCCGCTGTGCATGGCTCTGAGGTCATCCCCCGGCACAGGTTGGCCACCCCCGCGTCGGAAGGGACCTCCAAGCCTCATCCTTTTGCGCAGGGCTAGGGTAATTCGGATGAAACCTAGATGCATACAGACATATAGCCTGACATCTCTCTTCAAAAACCCCAAGAGTAGAATGTCATGCAGTACCATCTGGTCTCGCACCTTGGTACCTCACGCTGTCTTAATGGAACGGGGCCTGTCTTAGGTTGAGCAAGGTGGGGTACCTTGATCTTACCCGTTTTCGGCTCGCCCATTTAGCATCCTTATAACTGATGCTCTGCAACATGAAGGAGATATGCAGCCGCCCGACCACCAGATGGGCCAGCCTCCACCAGCTGCATAGCCGCCATGGCTGTAAATCTGACTTGTTGTTGAGTCTGCATCAAGCGATCAAGCAAGCATTTAACAACCACTAATCCAACCAGGATAGCAACAGCAATAAAAATCCAGGTAGTCAAATTGGGCCAGGAGAACCAAGAGGTGACATGATTCCATAAACCTTTTAGAACATCACTCAGGGTAGACAAATCAAATCTAACCGGGTTCAACTGAATTTTTTCTATTTCGTCTAATTCCTGACTAACAATCATTGACAGGTTGTGAAATTTTGGCAAATAATTGTCCTGCAGCCATTTAGTCATAGTCTTTGTAGTTTCAGTCAGGTTGGTGCGAACAGGGGTGACACAGACCCGGAAAGGCAGCCACCTCTGATCACAGAGTTGAGTGGCAACCTGCCACAATGCATCAATCTCCTGCCCGATGAGCTGGATCTCTTCTTGTAGCCGAAGTATAGCCTGGCTGTTAAGCTCAATCTGTTGCCTTTGAGCCTTGATGGTCTCTCGTGTGGCGTTGCTCAGCCGATTGACTGCATCCATGGTCAGCGTGAGCTGCTCGGAGGTCCATGCCTGCAAAACAGCCTGTCCCACTGCAGGGACAAACAGAGAAGAGACCACCCCCGCTGCCTGCCACAACCAATCTTTTATCCCTCCTTTTGTTCTGGTTGGCAACGAGGAGAGTGTCCTGGGCTTGGACGGGAACCCAAAGATAGCTTGGACGATATGCTAGAATGGCGAAGGCCGGGTAACCAGTCCAACAATTAGAAAGTGAGCAAGAGGTCTCATTTTAAGCAACAACCACAGCGATAAGGCGAGGGGGCCGCAGTTAACATTGCCCATCTTAACAAAATTAAAGAGCCCCGAGGCGCAATAGCCAACAGAGGCCTGCCCTTCTTTTTTGGGCAATGTCGATCCCCGCAAGGGGTCGACCAGTAGATCCCTTAAAGTGCATCCACCAAGGGCCGGGTTAAGCCGCCGCTCACCCACAGGTACGTACCGTTTTTCAACACAGTCACAGGAGCCGCAGAAGGCACGGGAATGGTTTCGAGTCCCCGTACGGGCCACCAGCTGTCCGGCGCCGCTTCCGTCCCGCGGAATGGAGCACACGAACACTTAGCCTCTGCGAGCACCTTTATTGACTGGGCAGCAACCTCAATACATGTCCGTCCTCGATGGCTTCTTCCGTGTTGTGCGTCGGGCACTTCCTATACTTGGGCTTATATAGCTAATGTTATCCAATCATGGGATTACACGTGGGGACAGGCGATTGGGCGGCAACAAGGAAGCAATCAATCATTACCATATATGGCAGGGACAGTAAGCCGAGCAAGAACCAGGAAGCAGGATGTGCGCGCCATCTTGGGCACACGATGGGCGGGGGAGCAGCGAGGCGGTAGGCGGACGCCATCTTGTGGCTATATTCTCATGGGTGATACGGCAGGCTCCCAACAAGAAATTACATATCTAAGCATGACATTAAGTTGACTGTTGGGTTTACAAATCTAAAGTTTAAGATTGAGGTTGGTTAGGATATATGAATTTGGACATGACTGATATAAAAGTGGCAAAGATTTAAGAAAAGATTAAGAACAATGCTGAGCTTACAAAAGAATACTGAAAGAACAAACCAAACCAAAGAAAAGGCCCAAAGACTGAGGATATTGAAAACTAAGACATTTAGAGAAAAGGGAAATCAACTAATGACACTCTACTTGAGAAAATAAGCTGTGTAATATGGTGAAGTACAGTAATAAGAGGTACAAAGCAACTGGGTAAAATGTAGCTGAGAAGTGAAATAAAATGAGAATTGAAGAAATTACCATCAGACTTGACAATTCTTTTTTTTTTTTTTTTAATCAGCACCGGAAATTGGACTCACAGCCACAAGCTTGCAAGGCAGGCGCTTATGCCACTGAGCTAAATCCCCAGCCCCAGATTTGACAATTCTAGAAAATAATTATTTTAAAGGGATAACGCACTAACAGGATACAAAAACTTTTTCATGCTTTTCTGCCATTGACAGTACAGATAAAGGACTAGAAGACATAAGAATACTAAGAGTGAAACTTTTGGAATCCAGACATAGGCCTCCTAATTTCTCCAAAGTAATTAGAATCTGGCTAATCTGGGAAACACACTGGTTGGCTTTGATGCCTATCGGCATAGAATGTATCTTTCTTCGTGGCTCTTTACAAATAACTTTGTTTCTCTAATGATACATCTTCAGCAACCATAAATCTTTTGAGTTCAACTTTACATATTATTCCTTTTGAGCTAAAAAATAAGTTTTTAAAATTTTTCTGAATTTTTGCCTTCTGCACCAATTCTCCCTGTAAATCTTGGTAATACTAGCAGTGTATCCATGTCACAACATAAATGTTGGCCTGTCTTGAA